ATTGCAGCCTGCCCTTCCATAATAACCAATACTGCCCCTTAGGTCCCTCTGTCGAGATTTAGAGTTCAGGTGCTTGCAGCTCATCATGCTTCACCTGGGCCATTACCTATATCCAGCAGTGACTAATGTCGAAGCTGGAAAGACTGGCTGAGTCACAGCACCTATGGGAGGCAGAGAGCTGAAGCCCATCTGGGCCAAGTGCATAGCTCGATTTCTGCTGCAACCCTTTCAGCTGCAGCTGGGTCTCCAAGACCAGGCCCGGGGCTTGGGCACCTGCCTGTTTTGCTGCTCCTCAGACACTTAAATACCTGAGGGTATCAGTAAGGGTTGAGGGGGGCACAAAGTAACAGTTCTCAAAGTTTACCCAAGTAAAAGCTAAGGAGGAAAAGAAGGAAAAAAAAAAAAAAAAAACATAAAACGCAGACTTCAGTCTGCGTCAGCCAGGGACAAGTGTGCAAGCTTTAAATGGCACTAGCAGTCATTCATTTCACACTGCAAAAATACACTGTAAAATAGCCCTCCATTAAAAGGAAAGATATAGCCATCCTTTGGGTTCAGGGCTCACAACTAATATACACACACCTATATGTAAATAACAAATTATGTAATTACATATACTTTTCAACATTCCAAATCAGAGCTGGGGATTAGAATTTAGGCAGGTCACATCCACCTTGATCGGTCTGATCAATTCACACCAAGCAGCTGAATGCTTGTGCGCACCCATACTTCAGAAATTAACCATTTTTAAAAATGTCCCTCTCATCCACAAATCCATCCTTGCTTCAACCTGAAAGAAAAAGCTTCTTCCGTGATGCTCTCGTTTTCTAAACAGAAATTCTGCTGCACTATTACCTGCAGGCCTGACATTTCTTTGTGAAACATAGAGGAAACCTGCCCTGGCAGAGGCAAGGACTGGGGCAATGGCTGGTGCAGAGCACTGCTTGGCCAGCAACATGCTTGTCTAATCATCTCATTAATACAGGGCAGGGCGGGGAGGGAATAAAATAAAACTCATGTCTCGGGTATGGTCAAGCTGAAACACCAAATCCTGCCTGCTTTCAGCCTGTTCTGGCCTCAGTAAAGCTTGTTCAAACGGCAACCAGCTTTCTGGAACATCCATGTTAAAGGCAGCCCGTCAAAGCGGACACTACTAAGCCCAGGTCAAGGCAGTGGTTTCGTGTTTTCCAGGCTGGCTGTGTGTGAAGGCTGGTGGCAGTTCTTGCTGCTGGCAGCACGGCCATCACAGCACAAGCCCAGGGAGGCAGCCCTTGGCAGCACTCAGTCACTCTCCCCCTTGTACAGCACGTCCCTCCCTCGGTGCTGTGCGGCAACGAATAAAAGGAACCCACAACTCAGTGTGCGAGGTGACCAGGGACAAGCCTCAATCCCAGACGTTCCAGCATCACTCCATGTCAGCAGAGTGGTTTTTCTGTGCAGGTCCCAAAAGAATCCTCCTAAAGGAATTTTGCTTAAGGCACGGGATTCTCTCTCCAGCTCCTCCTACAAAGGGCACCAAACGAGCTCACAACTACTACTTTTATTGATAGAGCTGCCTTGGTAACACAGAATTCCTTGTTTGGATCTATTACCATAGCTGACTGACACCCTCTTAGACAGCAGCTTTGGCCTTTAAGTAGAGCCCTGTCCTTTCCTCCTGAAAGAAGAAATGCTGCCCTGTTTTTCAGCTGGCTAATCGAAGCACAGAAAGACCCCGACCACGCAGAACGTCTGCACAGAGGGCAGAGGAGCAGAGGGAAGGGCAGCTGTGAGCACGAGGCTCATGCTCTTACCGCTAGGCCGGCCTTCTCCAGGCTTGGCTGCCTCCCTTCGCTGCTCAGGGCAGAGGAGAGGGCTGTGCCCACGGGCCCCGGGCTCTGCTCCCTGTCTGCAGGCCGGGCGCGTGCCCGGGTGCAGGTGCTGCGCCTGGACCCACTTTGCTCTCGGCAGGTTTCACCTCCTAGAGCAGCTCCCCAGCTTGCAGTGGTGGCTGGGGTGATTTCAGAAGCAAAACACCAAAGCAAAAGCCTCTCACCTCCCATTAGGAAGAGCAGCCCGGCCACGTACTGCATGAGCTCCTGCTGCTTGCAGCAGCCCAGCACACCAATAATCCACCCAAAGAGGATGATGGAGACTGCCATGCCAATGAAGCCAGCTGTCATCCTCCGCAGGTCTGAGGAAAGAGAAAGGAGAGAAGCAGGAAGGAAGAAATGAAGGAGGCGCCTGGACAGGACAGGACGGTGAGAGCCCAGACAGTTGGGGACTTGTGCTCTGCCCTGGGCATCTCCTCCTGTAGCTTCTTTGAAATAAATACTTTGTGTTTTACTCTGAAGCTTAAGGAATCCAGCCAGCTGGACCCCCTGATGCTGGGCACTGCACAACCAGAGAACATACCTGTCCTAACCAAGGTATCTACTGTGCCCCAACCAAGGTGTCTACTTGGTAAAGTGCTCTAAGAGGAATAGTGACCTGGGGCCTGCAGCACGGCATGGTGCATCAGCACCAGGAGAATTAATTCTGCAATGGCTTGCAAACATCACTGCTGCAAGGACTTTCTTTTTTGCTCATGGTGTACTGCTTTGGGGTGGAGTTTGCTGGGTGAGTGTCAACTGGAGACAGAATCAAAAGAAGCGGGAAGGGACAGTTACGGGAAGTGAAGGACTAGTGCATGGAAGGCAGGCAGTGGGAAGCGAAGACAGGAAGAGTGGGAAGACTAGAGCAGACAGTAGATCAATGCACCATGAACAGAACAAGCAGAGCAACAGACTCTAAACTGCTCACTGATATGAACAGCACCTTGCAGCACAGTAGCTGCTATCTCATGATGGTTCAGTCTCTAGCTGGATTTCCTCAGCACTGAGGCTCATATGACTGGGGCTACATGGATTTATGGGAGGCAAAGGCAACAGACAAAAAACATGAGGAGAAGCTGGGGCAGAAGACACTCATTTCTGGCAGCAAACTAGTGTTCCCTCAGATATCTGGTAAGGACATTGGTGGGAGGCAGGTTGTGGAGAAGGAACAGGCAACAAGAGGTTGCAAAGACAAACTGGGACATTTTCAAAAAGCACTGGTGACAGGAGGGCTACGAGTCACCAGTTGCATATGGCAAATGCTACAAGCTCTGTGCAGAACCTATGAGGCTGCAGCACCTTTGCTGTAATTGGGGTAGGAATCATCTGCACCTAGCAACATACTACACAGGCTCGGGCGTTCCGGAACTCATCCGCACAACCACTCCAGTCTCATGTCCCCTTCCAGTTATACTATGTCAGCTACTTGCCCGTCCTCTCTCCCCAACAAGTATTTAAGCTTAGACACCAGCCAAGGCAGAGGCCCCACTCAGCACAGCCATAAGGTATTAAATAATCTGACTGTTTTATACTGTGCTTGGGGTTACTTACGGAGCGCATGCCACTCATCCTGCCGGATGGTGTTGGTAATATTGACGGGTAAGTTGCGTGGCAGCGAGCTAGAGGTGTAGTGGTACTTCACAGCAGTGCAGCGCTGAATAACACCTGCAAAAGAGACACCAGTGTGAAACGGAGTGAGAGCTTGGTGCCTTGCACTTGATGCTGACGGAACTCAATGCTGGCACAGCAGAGGTCACACCAGGGAAGTCTTAGCTCAATAACAGAGCAAATATCATACAAAGGGAACCATTACTTCAAAGCTTTAGGGATTAAGAGGGGAAGGAGTCTTGCCACAAAGTCGTCCTGACAAAGAGGGAACGGGGTGCTGACCCAGCAGGACAGGGCTGAAGGTAAACAGTAATCATAGTCTCTGAAATAGCTGTGGAGACTTCCTAGAGAAACTGGTACAAGGCTCTTTGGGATGACTGAGGAGACATGAAGATTTCAGAGCACCAACAGGGCTGTTTCGTCTCTAAGGTGACAGAATTGAATCACTTCAGAATATTTGGAATGAATACTGGAAAGTGAACTGCTTGGGAGGAAAACTTGAATTCACTCCAGTTGCAATGGCTGTTTCCTTTGCTTTCCATTAACAGTAGTGCCCAGGCAGGCTTGTTCCCCCTGTATTTAAATAAAAGTGAATCCCAGAAGCAAACTAACCCTCCACCCACACTCGAGTTTCTAACTCAGCAACTCAGTAATAGAGAAGAGCCCACAGAGAGGGCATCTTTCTCCCTTTTACAAACACAGCTGGGACAGAGAAGGAGAAACCTCAGACAAACGCAGTGGGACAAAGAGAACAGCCAGAAAGACAGAGAGCCAAGTGTGACAGTAAGTCCCCTAAACAAGGGCTGCAGGGTCTCTGCCACTAATTGAACATTCGGAAGCTAATGCAGAGCCCAGACAGGGAGTTAATGAAGGGGTGACCAACCCCTAGCAGGGACCAGTGGCCTTCAGCTTTGCGTAGGACCTCAGAAAAATAGCAGCAGCAGCAGCAGGGAGTTTTGTTCTGTTCCTGCAGCACTGGGAACGCGACTTCGCTCTCCAGGAATGTTTCCCTGGGACTGCACAGCTGGGTTCCCACAAGGAGGCCCCTTCCCCTCCAAAGGATTAGGAATTGGATGCAAGAGGCCCCACCAGTTTCCGTGATGGGGCCAGGAAGCAAGAAAAAAATGCAAAAATCATGCCCAAAGAGGGAAAAATATGCGAAAGACTGAGAGTTCAGTTCCAAAAGCCTCGCAGCAGCAAGGTGCTTGCAGCAGCTCCCTTCCTCGGCCGCAGTCCCCGTGGCCCTGCGGGCTCCGGCCGCAGCGCCTGCCCGCGGAGCTGCTGCCTTCCCCTCCCGGCGCAGCCCGTGCCCCGGAGCAGCCCACCCGCCTCGTGCTTGTCCAGCACGACCCCACAGGGCAGCTGGGCAGGGCGGCGCAGCTTCACTTGCAAAGCCCAGCGTACATCCCAATTAAAAACTCAGGCCACATACAGCATGTTACAGTATCTAATTAAACTTAACCCGTCACTGATAATGTAGTAATTCTGATTTGCATTCAACAAATGTGCTCACATGCTTTGCAGAGAAACATGTCTACAGTCCAAACTGAAGACAGATTACAAAGTGCATAGTGTTCACCATAAGTAGAAGTACTACATTTAAAGAAATACCTTATATAAAAGCCAGGGCGACTTTGTAGCTCATCAGAGAAAAACCAAAGAGTAGTGAAGCACATGACGAAACACTCTTATATCCAATATGATCAAAGCTAGGGAATCCTTAGCTGAGAAATCCTTAGCTGAGAATCTTTACTGAGAAAGTCCTTGCTCTGCAAGGTTACACTAGAAGAAAGTAAAAACACCCCAGTGCTTCTTATGCAAAATTGACGGCCTTCAGTTTTGCGATCACAAGCTCTTCTTTGCTATAAGATTCCCATTTCACTGAGTGCACAGGAGGGACCTGCTTTGGTATGAGCTACTGTGGGCAGAACGAGCAAGGGCGCTTGTTGGAGAGGCCTTTCCATCTGCTGGGAAAACTGGGACACGTAGGCCAGGGAGGCAGGGGAGCAGCAGAGCAGTGAGGTGGCCTCACAGCCAAATACCACCCACCTTCTCCCCTACAGTTATCACATGCACCCCAATTCTTGGCAACCACATTTTTCATCTGCAGGCACTAGTTCACTTTTTCTGCTTTTCTGGGTGTGATTTGCAGCGATGCTCAGACATACCATGCTACCCCATGGGGCCTCATTTATAACGGCACTGCACTTTGTTCTCTAAGGACTCCTTAGAGAAAAAAGAAAAAAATAAAAGCTTTTCAGTCTCAAAGTTTCTGTAGAGTCAAAGGTATCTCAAACGCACCCCAAATTAGCAGGTACCTTTGCCCTAAGTCCTTTTATACCTTAGATCCCAATCTATAAAATGGAGACAGCATATTGGCCTCCATGTTAGAAAGTTGCTAGCATAGAGATTTCACTTTTGTTTATTAAGAGTCAGACAAGCACTGTAAGCAAGCCTGCCAAAAATAAAAATGTTGCCTTCAGACAAAGGCAAATAGGATGGAGTAACATGGCGAGTAAGAAGGAAAAAAAACTGAGTGCTGTCTTTTTGACACACCAGGAAGTTGAGAACCCAGGGCAGAGCAGGGCAGGGGGTCTGTGTGATTAGATTATCATAATGCAGATGTACAAGGCAAGGTTACACAGACAGCCTGTTCCCACCAAGTCTTGTTTGCATTAACAGAAAATTCTGAACGTTGTACTGCATGTGCAATTTTCTTGATTAAAAGAATAAGTGTAAGAAGCAATGCATTGCATCGGGCAGTAGTGCAAAGACGCTTTCATGGCGGAGCTGTGACTGTACCCATGACTGTGCCCTCCCAAAGCCATTGCGTGCGCACACCTTGCGCGCACATCCCTGCTTCCCTCAGCGCCACGGGCAGGTTTCCCTTCCATGGCCTCACACCGCTCTTGTGGTGCATGCAGGAGTGTCCCTGAACAAGCCTTTTTCCCTGCCTGATGCTCAACACTGGGCAGGACCAGAGCATTTCAGCTACCTCTGGACCTCTAGGGCCTGCCCTGAGCACAGGCCCCATTTCCTGAGCCACGAGACATCTGGAATGCCAGAGCCAGGTCAGCTCTAGCACATTCAGTTTGTAATGTCAGGCTCTGCTCCCCAGATTTTTCTTGGTTTAGTCTCCCACTCTCTCTGACTTTGAAATGTGCGGGTTTCTCCTTTGTGTTGCCTACAGCAATATTAGGAGATGGAAGAGCTCTCACTTTCAGTTCTGATACCCGAGTTCTTGTTTTGGAGTGGTTCTGCCCTCTCACAGGCGGGAGAGGTCCTCTCCACACGCAAGCAAGGCTGGAAGCAGCCAGGGGCAGCTACTGCTGAGCTGCCATGGGCAATCCCGGCCTCCCCTCCCTTGTGACCCAGGCCGAAGCAGCTGCGAGAGCTCCCTGGCCTATTCCTGCCATTGCTGCCCAGGAGTGAGAACAGCAACGGAGTGCACTGTCCCCATCGTCACCCAAAGAACACCACTAGATTTGGAAAATCAGCTTTCCATGGCTCCATAGAGTCTCCAAAATCTGTCTCCAACAGATTTTACTCGCCTATGGCCACAACTAAACAGACTGGGTTAACTATCCCACCTGCACTGCAGACCCTCAGTCATTCCTGCAACATTCCCAGTTCATCAGCTGGGAAGCACGGGGAATTCAGACACCAAGGCTGAGCAGTTCCCTCTCTGTGGCCTCACTAATGCCACAGACCAGAGCGTCCCTCTGATTAAGCTTCCAGTGGGTCTTCCTGCCCCCCCAGCTATGTGGGGCACTAAGAGCTCATGTCTACCCAGTACTTTGTTGAGCAACCAGTCCCAGTCCAGATTCTTCTCAGTGCAAACCTGACAAAGCCTCTAGTGTGAGTCTCTTTTCATTTCTTGAATTTACTGGAGAAAACCATACATTGCTCAAACCAACCACCAGGTTATCCAAAAAGCCTATTTGATCTGACCTTTTCCAAATTTTTTCTACTTTGTAAGTATACTTTTTATATATATTGATGAATAAGAGTATTTAATAGCAGTTAATAAAACCCTAGAAGACCTTACTAGGCAACAATACTTCATGCACAATTTTCTTTTTTTGCTGTATCACTTATGCAGCACTTATCACCCACTTAGCACAAGCTCGAGTGGGGATATATTGGGCTAAAGTTCTTACATGTGAGGCTCACCAACTGCCTCCCTACACACAAAGTTTCCCCGTCAAATGTTTCAGTTTATTGTCTCCAATCTCATACTAATTGCTAAACTTGTTTTCCTCTATTTGGTTTATACATGCTTTCTTCTCTTTCTTTCCTCTTAATTGTATTTTAAAAGTGGAACTCTCCATTTTTATGGTTCAAAAATAACAATGTTACATGTTAAGAAGGATCCCACATATTTCTCCCCTTATATTTAAATATTTCCCCTTCCATTTTGCCCAACATTTTTTGACTCCTGCTTCTTCCTTTTCAGTTGTGTGCTTTGTACTAAGAGCAGTAGATAAATATTGCATTAGAAATCCATGCAATTATTTAAACGAATAAGGGCACTTGTGGTCTTAATCATTTACTCAGAATTCAAGAGAGATTTGGACAGGGAGAAAAAAAAGTCCTTATTCTAGACACACAAGAAAATGGAAAGGATAGGTCCTAATTAAAACTACCACTAGAGTTTCACAAAAATCACTTACTCCTCTGTCACTGAAAGCCTATAAAAATCTTTAGTTTTAAAAATACATGAAGGCCTCACATATCACCAAAGATCTAGGTGGAACATCCCTGCAAGCCAAGAAGAGAGGGGGGTGTTTCTACAGGTGCACAGTAGCTATTATTAGTAGCTCACACCGAAAAATAATAATTTGCTTCTGTTGCTCAGAAACTCCAGCCCTAGCAGTGTGCTCGAGAAGAGAGCCATGCCTGGCCACTGCTGCTTAGTTACAGCTGCCAAAGGAAAGATAGGCACGACGGGAACAAGGGAAAGCACCTAGTGAAGCAGGTCGGGTAGGCTGAGAGTCCTGTGTGTCGAGGGCCTGATTCTACAAGAACTAATAATAATAAACTTTTCCTTTATATGATGATGCCTACATCTTTACAGCAGATACTACAATGTAAACACACCAAAAGGCATAAGGGAAGCAAGATTTGTAGGGAAGGTGAATCTCTTTCATTAGACTGAGGTAAAAATGCAGAAGGAAAACCATTTAGACCCAGCGTCCCCGCAGCTTTACCTGTGTGGCCCCAGGCGGGGTCCTTAGTCACGCACACAACACGCTCACGCGTGCAGCATGCACAGTGTGTCCTCTGCGCCTGGCCCCAAACCCGGAGGTGCTGGGAACCCGCACGGCCCTCCTGCCACCGCCTTCCCCAGCCTTTGCTCATCGTAATGCGAGACGAAAACAGAAAAATAAATACATATTTTAAGTGATAGAGACCATTAATAGACTGAAATTAATGAGCTGCCTTTTGATGAAGTGAGATCAACATGGAAATATAAATGAAAAAGCAGAATACGAATCTCGGGAGTTTAAATAAAGAGGCTAGTCAGGTGGCCCTTGATTTTCTAGGAGGCGGAGTCCCTGCCATGCCTTGGGAAGAAGGGACAAGAGGAGCGGAGCTTCCCGGCGCCAGCGCGCGCAGTCTCTGCTGTGCAGGATGAGCACTTCAGCTGGAGGCCACGCTGAAGAGCTGCCCGCACTGCCCCTGGGAAGCATCCCCATCCAGTGCCCCGGTGGAAGTGCTTCTCCCACCCCTTTTCTCCCCACGCTGACATGCATTTGCTGTATCTATAAGCCTTTATATTTATTAACCTTTAACCATTCACAGCGTTTCTTGTCCTTAAGCTCGTTTTGTAAGGGCCACAGCTCCTCACTAGCGGTGCCGCGGAGCCCAGGATCCCTATGTCTC